AGCGGAGGAAAGGGGGGCAGTGTGGGCAGCTGGATCATTCCCACCAGCTTCCCTCCCAGCACGGAGCAGATGAAGAGGATGATGATGCCGAACAGGTTCCCTCCAGGTAAACACTCTTTTCCCGTGATGGACCAGACGATCCCGAACAGCAGAGCAAACAAACAGACTGCAAGCAGACGGGAAATCTTTTAGACTCGTTAAGTTTCAGCGTTTTTCTCTTTCTCTGATAGTACACATATTCACAGTCGGTGTTGGGGAGTAACGGAATACATGTACCGCCGTTATTTAAAATACAAAATATGAGTAACCGTATTCCGTTAAAGTATACAGCATTGTCACTGGAAGTGGTTTTTCATTGTTTATATATTTATATTATTTACTGTAGATACCGATTAAAAAGGCTTTATGTTGTGAAAAACTGGAATCTGGAAATTAGAATTGGTGTGCCTTATTTTGTTGATGTTTTTACAATGTACAATTTTTGGATACTCGACCCACTTCTGGTCCTTGGGCTGATAATTCTCACATTATGAGTGTTTGTTACCTTTAGTGATGAGCAGGTTGACGAGTCCCTGAGGTCGAGGACATCTGTCCTTCAGACTGATGCAGGACGCGCAGCATGAGGAGGGCGACTCAGATGATGGCATCGTCATCTGTCCACACACAGATTTTTTTTTTCTGTTTTTGATTTTTATTTAATGATCAAGTTAGACAATTGGACCTTAATCACCTGATCACACTTGCCTAGATACTGCCTGGTAATTCCATGGCAACCACTAAATGCTAGGGAATAATATCTCAACAGATTACTGCAGTTTGCATAGAAGACTCCACCTTGTCTGAAATATTGTCTTTCAAGTAAAAGTTGTGCCTTTTTATTGCAACTTCCAACTGACAAAGAGCACAAGTTGCAATAAATTTCAGCTTGTTAGCAACTACTTCCTTTAGCAACCAGTTTCATAGTTACTACCTCCTGCTACCACCCACCAACCGGATGGGGGAATACATTTTTTTAGCAATTGATCATTTCCAGAACATTGCCAACCAGTCTTTATGTCATAAGCTGGGCACACAGTGTGCAAGTTTTCTTTTTCTTCAGTCGCGTTATTCAGCTTCTGCTCTGCTTTTGCACAATTGACTCGCAGGGTTTAGAAGTTCATAGGTCACGATGCAGGGTCTCACACTTTACGGCCCGATGCTCATATACGACCTGAGTGCTCACACTGTGCGTCCATAACATGAAGCTTATAACACAAAATCTGTCGCTTGCTCTCCCGCTCTGTCTTTCACTCACACAGACACACACACCCAGTGGTCCTAGCCTCTTAGGCGCCCTGGGCGAACACCCCCTCTGCCCCCCC